ACCAGGTGTCTGCGACAATCAAAGACAACTCGGGTGCCTTGATTCACAATAAGGAGCGCTGAATGGCTCGTTGGGCGGAGCACTTTCAAGAACAGTTCAGTTGACACTCTGATTCCGGATCACTTCCTACTCAGATGTTGCAGGGTAAGCCATGGCCAGTTAATTTAGAGACTCCATCGGGAGCTGAGGTCCGAAACGCGATCGCAGCCCTCAATCGTTTTCATGCTGCTGGCCTGGATTTCCTTCCGCCTGGACTATTTAAGAATGGTGAGGTCCTCTGTAAAACATTGACCACCCTATTCGAACATATCTGAAGGGAAGTGTCCCGGCTAACTGCAGTGAACCGATTGTAGTGGCAATATACAAGAATGACAGTCACATATATTGTGCTAACCACAGAGATATTAGCCTAACGCCAGTTGCGACGAATTACTGGCCTCAATTCTCATTCATAGCCTCACTGCGGAGCGAGAATCACGGATTAGGGAAGAGTAAGCAGACTTCTGCTCAGGACTGAATTGTATAGACCACATATTTACTCTGCGGCAGAAGGTAAAGTAGCGCCACACGTCCTGCCGACCAACTATTGTCGGTGCGTTACCTTCAGCAGATCGATACATTCTGTTCGAAATACTTGCGCGGAAAGGTGTTCCACGAAATATGTGCACATTTTGCATGCTCTATAATCAAACACTACAGGCCGCGTCTGGAGCTACGGTTGACCTGTCAGGTCGCTTTCCGACAACAAGTGGCGTTCGTCATGGTTGCCCAATTTCCCCATTTCTGTTCAACTTCACCGTGAACTCAATCCTGGGGTGTTTCCTTGCGGAGTCTCACGATGTAGGCGTTGAGGTGCTGCTTGGTGGAAGGGTAGTTGATTTTGATGATACGGGCGCGTGGTCCTATTGTTTGGTATGCGCTTCGCACCTTCAAAATGCAGTGTGGCTGCAGGACCACCAGCCTCTTGATGACCCGTTGACCCTTAATAGCAAAGAACGCGACGTAGTTAATTAATTAACTTGTCAACTAAATCAGTAACGATGAACGCAAAGCGATTGAAGTCAGTTCACGCATTGCAAAAGCCGTAACTGCCTTTTTGATTCTGCGATATTTTTGGTGACTGAACGGTGTTTCCCTTCGTTTAAAATGACGTGTATACAAGGCCAAAGTGAAGGCATTCCTACTCTGTGGGAGCGAGACTTGGCCCTGCCGATCTGAGCATCTGCGGCGCTTTCAAGTCTTTGGTCATCGCAGCCTGCGGAGCATTGTTGACATCGGATTGCAACAGAATTTCCTCAAGGATGAGATGCTTAAGCGATTACTAGGCAGTGATAACTAATCTAGTTCCTTAGAACAACATATAGCACTGTATAGGTTGCGTTGACTTGGGCACATACTGCATACGCCTGATCACCGTTTACCGAGGAGGGCCTTGTTTTGTCTGCGAAACGTTGGGTGGCGCCATGCTCGACGTGGACAGAAGTCGACTTGGCAGCGGGAAATGAAGTCACGGACAACCGAACTGGGCGCTGTCGATCCGTCTGGCCTTCCAGGCTGGAGTCCATGTGACTCGCCTTGCGTTTAGCTCGAGACTTTACAGGACATTGCTCGCAGTCGGTACCAGTGGCTTGTCTGCTGTCATCTCGTAGTCGGACTGCCTATTTAAAGTGTGTTAGGTGCTGAGTTATCTGCGGAGCAGCGACATTCTCTAGGAAGCTGTTTCACCCGTGCCGCATTATCTTTACACGATAGCCAGCTGTTTGTGACGATATGTTGTTGACTAGGTGTATTCGTCTTGACCCTGTATCTTTGTTTAGGGCATTAAAGTTTTCCGGCAAATCGTCCGTCTCTCGCTCTTATTATTCTTCGTACTGTAGGTAGTTCTGGTTGTATGGCAGAATTCATGCTGAGGTTGAGGTCACATCATGTTTCTTCACTCAAGATGTGCTACATCGACTTACACTTAATCCACGTATTCTTTACCTGGATGAAGAGTATTTCACTTTATTTGATTTGCTCAGTTCCGTTATTTTACTGCATATACCGTTTCAATTTTGCGCATTTGTTTTCTTTCCTTTCCTTCGAATACTATGTTGGTTGTTTGATATCCCAGGTGTGGCTGCGCTTGATGTGAATGTTGACAATGTGACTATCTAACACCTTCCATCCGGATCACTAACTCTAGGAGACTGGGAAGTTTTGTCGTGTGGACAGTGTGCGGTCCTCTTGGCAGTGCTAGCCTCAAGGAGGGGTTCCATACACTCAGTATGGAGCGGACTATGACCCAGTCACCGCTTTGTGTTCGTCTGACACGCATGATTCCCAAATCAGGCAGATAGGAGCACTGCTGCTGTGCATGCTGAGGGAGTGTGGGCCGGCTCCGTTGATGAAACATGGCTCCCATCTACATGCCTCCCGGTCTTATTCCTTCGGGTTTACACTGGGTATGGGGCGTGTGGACTGAGCTGTGAATGATGCAGCGCAAGCCACCCATAGTCCATTGTTAGGTGCAGGCGTACTGTGGCAGTCCTATGGAGGCCACAGTGACAGGCAGATCCGGAACTGGATACCGCCAACCATGGCAACGAAGCCTCAGTTCAAATGGCTGATGTACTACTGTTGATGATGTTGACGGTGATGATGAGAGCTCACTTCTCAGCGCTCCATATTTTTCCGAACAAACTTTTCCGGATAGACATTACTCTCGAAAAGGTTACTTAAGAAATTCAGCTCGTCCCGAAGCGTGTCCTCAACACAAATCTTTCTGGCCCTTTCAGTTAAACACCTAATCAAGTTCCGCCGTTAATGTAACGCGACAAAGCTGACGGAATGTCCTTGTTTGAACCGGTGTTGCTCATCGAACCCTTGACATCGGGGTTTTCTAGCAACCGCTTTTCATCTTCTCGTGAGGGCTGGATACATTCGGACTGATAGATGAGTCGAGGTCGGAATAGGTATATCTCCTACTAATGGTTAGCTTTTTTTTGCGCTTTGTGCTCGAGTTATGTTGCTATGCTTTAGTGTATTGCAGGAAAAACGGACTGGTTGTGCTGAACTCCACTTAGAAATGATCCCATTGCCCTGAGTCGACGAATCTGTCAAGTAGTATGGAACGATTGTCCGCGGTATCTTAGGCACCTTCACAATGTGTTTTAGTCAAAGATGACATGGAGCATGCTTACAGGTCCGCAGGAATTACCAACAAAATTGCATGGGGCACCTTCTTAATAATGACAATCACGAATTCCTCTTAAAGTGCGTCCATTCCACGCCACACATGACGAATTTCTGAAAACGGACTCGGAACTGACGCATTAAATACTCATCTATCCAGAATTGGCTAGCTGCGCATGGTGCAGCGTAGCAAAGTGGCTGTTCGCACCGCCGCTAACTTAGTCGCTGTCGCCACCATCACGGTGATTTTTACGAACTCCGGTGATCATTGCGATGGGCACTGTGGACGGTGATCGAAGTGTTGATGCGTTCGGATCTGGGTAGATGGCGGTGGCCTCGCAACATCCCTAGTGCACACGGTTGTTGGTAGTTGCGTGACAGCGAAGTGTCGGGGCTGGACGCCAGTGTGCTGCCAACTCCTACAGTCACCATGCACTATTACTTCAGTTCATCTTTCATGAGACCACATTTCTGATGACATCATGATTCCACTTTCTATTTTGACAATCTGTGTTACCACTCAGATACTACACCCTTCTCTTTCGTGGACGTAAATTCGCGCTTCGTCACTTTCAGTAGACCTTTGTTTTCAACGCTTTGCCCTTGCCCCACGAACCAGCCTCCGCTCACATCACGGTGCTTTCTGGTGGCCACGTTTCATTTGTAGTGCATTTTCTCCACAATGCTCCTTAGTAACTCGCTGAAAACATGTTTTTTCGGTTTGCACAAATACATTGGTGCCCAGAAATATTCGATAGTGTAATTTAATCGAGCATTCCTTCCGAAATACCATGGAGACTATACGTTGAGTGTTCGTTATTGTGTAGTATCGGGCAATGTAGTATCGGGCAGCGCAGCCATAGCCGGATGAAATTCTTTAGACTTAAGCATTCTTAGTCTGAAGTGGGTGATGCCATTGCTCTGCGCTGCACTCTGGCTGCCAGAACTACATATTGTTTATTTATTCAGAGATAGCTTTTTGTCCACTCTACCTGCTGCCCCACTCCTTTCGCGGTCGGTTCCATGGGACCAGTTTTTCCGTACTGCGTCTCTTTGCTGGTGTTGCGGATATTGTGTTGGTGATATGATGGTAACGAATCGAACAGGTGAATTGAGCGATCATGAAGCCAACAGTCTGAAAGCTAATTTATCGCCACAAATACCATCTGATGATAATTCCGCTGGCTGGCTGGATAGTACATAACAGCATTGGACTGACATGAGCACCTGTCAAGAAAGCAATAGCAAGGGGGATCGCACTACATCATGGGTGAACCTAATTCCTGCGAAACCTGTTGTCCTCTGAGTACTAGCATTTCGATTGAGGCCCAGACCTCGGAGGCTATCTCCATATGGAGACAGAGAGGTTAACACACCGAACCCCGCATGCTTTCGGTGGATGACCAGCGATCCAGTTTCCAACTCCGCACCAGATGATAGCAAGTGTGCTACTCGACAACTGAAGAATGTGAACGGTGAAATGTACAGATATGAACATGTGTGTCACTTTTGCTTTAGCTTGCAATGTGCCCATAGAGTTTAGGAAACTTCAGCTGAACATGGCAACGTTGTTGTTCCGCTTCTCCATATCAATCACCCGTGAGACCCGATTTGTCTTGTATTGTACTGTCTATAGTGACATCAACCACGCTGCCTTATGCCGCGAAGTATTGATTATTTTGTTATTAGATCTTTATGTCTCATTTCAGTCGATCTTTTTGCTCCTTCTATTTCACGGTCTCCACAACCATCGCTTTTCCGCAGGCACCTCTAGTTTATCTACGATCCTTTCTATATCTAAACGTCGTTTACACATTATTACACAGTCTGTTGGACAAGCTGCTCGTTAAATGTCCCAACTCGGAATACTGTCAGGAAGTTTTGACCAGATGTGATTTGGAATCCCACTTGGCCTACTGGTGCCGTGGTGCTGTGGTAGCCTGTGTGAACAACAAGCTTGGTTGTCCCTACCTTGGCTTGCGGGCACTCCAACCTGCACACCGATGGAGTTGCCAGTTTCAACCATCGGCCTCAAGAACGAACACTTCAACTCTTTCGTCGGGCGACGATGAACGCCTTAGTGGCTCCTCGAAGATTCCGGAGCCGCGATCAACTGCTACCGTCCACGGAGATTCACTCAATTTGGTTCCTTTGGATACGACCGCTGGTCCTAACTTTCATAACTCAACCGTAACGGGTAAGAGTTTGCTTGATGTATCTTGTTGCTTCCTTCTTTAACTTCACGACTTCCCATCACACATATGCTTTCTGGTTCTAGTTCATTGGCTGCACACATGCCATTGTGTCCACGGTTCTTGCATTTAGTTGATTTTTGGTGCTCTCATATGAAACATTTTGAAGATGGTCCTGCAAATGTATGCGGTGTTTTTCCATTGAAACGGTTTTACTATGCATATATCATATCAGCACAATTGCATACTGTGCCACTTATTGCTTTCCACTCTACCGTTATCGTGGCAATTCACTGCGCCATTGTTTCATTCTCTATGTCTGCAAGACGATTCGGTTCTAGTAACCTCTTACAAACTTTATCTGCTGCTAACATTTTTTTGTTGTCACTATTGCGTGTCGTGTAGTGCTTGATCCTTGTTCCATGGCTATTGACTTGTTGGACAAATGTTACCCTATCAGAATCGCCCTTCTGTAACAAACCATAGCATTCGTTAGCGACCATACCACGCTGGAAACGCCAGTTCCGTCCAAGCACCGGCTGCTTTAGCAACTAGCTGGGGGTACAGGATGTTGCGGCCGTTTCTGTTGCGAGGCGACTCGACGATTTGCGTACCTCCTCAACCCATTTAGCTATATGGATGCTCTATAAGCCACTTCTACCAGGTTAGTCGATGGTTAGAAGTCTAGTGAGTTCTGTCTCCTTTTCCTCTAGGTTGGCTGTTGGAATTCGGGTGGCGTCCACCTTCCTGCTACCAAATTGCTGTCATCTTCCCACTCCCTTGGAACCATGCTTTTATGCCAAATGTTTCGATTGAAGTCCCTTATCTTTCTTCTATCTGTGTTTGTATGTCTTACTATGTATCCCAGCTCACACATAACCATTTGCTTATTATGCGGCTCCATTGAATTCCTCCATCGGCCGTCACGCAGGTGTTCAAAAAGCCACCTTATCTGCTCCATACAACAGGTCGGATAGGCAAGTGTACCACAGCTGACATCAATCGTCTTTGGCTTTCACGTCTGTCAACTCCCATTTCATCCATAATCATCAGCATAAATGATCACAGAAACAGTATTTTGAGCTCTATCACCTGCATTCATATTCCCACAACACTCAATAGACTCATAACATCTACGTCCCCTTATCACGCCATGCTGCCCTGTTTCTCTAAAAGGGCGATAGCAATGCGCCGATACGCAGTACCGACGCTTCGATGCCACCCAACAAACATGTCACGCGTGGGCTAATGATATTGCGGGAATCCCCCGGTCCCCAACGCTGATTGGAACCCGCGACCTTCGGGTTGCAAGGCACGCGTCCCATCCTTCGGCCGCGGGCCGGCAGCAATCATCCTCATCGTTATACATCAACCGAAGGTGTGAAAAACGCTTCGACCAATACAAAAGATAATATATATGAAAAATCCAGATAAAGTACATTACAAACACGTTAAAAGTAATATAATGCTCAGTATCATATTGTGGATCACGTGTAACAACGTGTTTGGAGCTGGATGATAAGCGAGAGGAGGTTGGACGAAGAAACTCACACCAGGAACGCCATGGGGACCGGCTCCTCGCCATGCCAACAAATATATCCAAATAAACGTGTCCATCGTTCTTCAGACCCCAGTCCGGCAGTCAGGAGATACCAACCGATGCCATGTTCGAAGTGAAAGACTTCATTCTTCTTGACCAATTCATTACTTGGCCTCCCTTCTTCTTCTTCTTCTTCCATTCACATCCCGATCGCGCAAACAACGCGGAAGTCGGTGTGCGGGCATGCGCAACTCGTGGCCCAATCTTCGGAGCCTGTTGCCTGATATAACGGTGCTAAGCGGTTCACTCGTTCTTTCTGTACCAAATAGATGACGCCGAACACATTCATTGCTCACTCGATGTTCCCACCAGATATGAGCTAAGCTGCGAAGGCAGCGATGGTCGAACGTAACTAGTCTGTTAGCACCTGTTGATTTGATGGGTCAAGTTTCGCAACCGTACGGGAGAGTTGAACGGACAGTTACATTGTAACCTTTTGTCTTCAGGGCGAGTGTGACGTCGCGTCCTTCCCACAGCTGACGGAGATTTTCAAAAACACCTCGTGCTTTTGCTATACGGTTCGTAACTTCATCTTCGATCCCACGGGCGTTAATATGACTGCAAAAATGCTTTAATTTCTGGACGATTTCTAGGTGGTCACCGCCAATGGTCAGTACAAGGGTGGTTCCCTGCCAAACCTGGAGAAAGGTTTTCTATTTCGAGGGTGCAAGGCATAGCCCAAAACGATTGACAACCATTGCTACTCGGTGCAATGCTACTTGGCACTTTTGGGTCTTGTCACAGATGAAAGCAATGTCGTCCGTATAGTCCAAGTCAAGAACTCGTTCACCTCGGAGCAGCTTCACTCCTTCTTAGTCATGGCCAATGAATTCAGTTTCCATGACTTCGTCAGTGGCGAAGTTATCGAGAGGAACTGACAGCCGACAACCTTGTTTCACACCGCTGGAGATTTTCAAGGGCGTCGACAGCTTGCTGAATTGCGCTTGTAATGCGTTCTGATAATGTTTGTTTGTTTATTGGGCACTCTTTTTCTCAGCAAATCGATTCACCGAATCGAAGGTACTTTTATGTCGAGCAACAGCAATGATGGGTTGCCCATAAACAACAAATAACAATTGACGTAATGTGCAGATGTGGTCGATGCAGCCTTGATTTCGACGAAACTCGGCTTGCTGCTCACGACACTAACTTCCACGAGTGCTAGTCAGTCTGTGGAGAACAACAGACCCAAGAAATGTGTAGGCGCTCAAGATCAGACTGATCCCTCCATGATTGCCGCATTCGAAACGGGCGCCACCCTTGAAAATTGACACACATTACGGAGCTGCTCCAGTCTGTCGGGACAGTCTCTTGCACCCATAGATTCACTAGTAAATTGTGCACATTGTGTGAAAGAGCGTGTACTCGAATTTGAAAAAAGCTGAATGAAGTCCATCTCCTCCTTGGACTTTTTCGATTTCAGCTGTCTCATCCTACGTTAGAATGAAGTCTCAAGATGTAAATCTTGATGCTTTACCCTTAGGGGCACTGATCTGATTTATTCGGCCAGCATCGCATTGCTATTTCCAATCACACGGAGACGCAGTCAATCCTGAACAATGTGAGGTGATTTCATCATTTGATATGCGCCCGATACTTTCAGATTGCTTTAGCTGCATGTTAGCTCTGTGCAATTTTATTACTGGGAACTAGGAAGCTGTTGACCGATTTGCTTATCTTGACGGACATGTGATTACCACAGCATTCCACATACTGCGAAACCTGGATTTGTACTTGCCAGTATGCGGCGCATTTTCCTGTTGCGCAGAAATCTCCTGCTCACCCGCACTTTGCATACAAAACCACAGTTGCGCTACTCCTCTTCCATACGGTGTCAACGGGCCTCTTTAACTTGAAACTCGCAGGATCGGGCCGCATCGTTAGCTTGTGGAGCATTATTCGTATCCAGACTTCAGCGTGTCTGTAGTCATGAGGTGCACACGTTAGTGCTAAGGCGCGATGGCCATGATAGTCCGCCGTACCAGAAATAAGCCTGAATAAGTTACATCTGTGTAAGCACGTTCCATGTGTTTCCGTGCACCGGTTGCACAAGAGGTTCTTACATTTTACAGGACACATATATCGGCACTAGGCCAGATGTGCCATAACCCTGATTTGCCGGTGGCAAGTCAAGCAACACCGATCTCTAAGCTGTCAACTGTTGTTCCACTTCCGCCTTTAAGTTGCTGTCTCTTTGATGCACTATGTGCTTTCATCCATGGGATAATGTGACTGACCGCAGCCGGAACCATTGTTCTGCTTACTGTTCGTCCTGGTCACCTATTTCGTTTGATACCGTTGGTTGGGACCTCAGCTGGTTTGTGAAGCAGAGCGGTGAAAGCCAATATTAGCTTTCTTTTGTGTTTCTACACTACGACCTGACATAGCCTATCCGGGCTTGCAGACTGGAAACACCCCTACTCCGAATTTTCACTTTGCGCGTTTAAGTCCTACAGAAAAGGTTCGCCTTTACCATTTGCCAGTTAATTATTGATTCCACGACACCCAACTTTCGCTTTTTATTGACGTTGATGCTTGTCGTTGATGGCATTTTTCATCCTTCATCATGTTAACTTTCGTGACTTCCCTAGAGGACATCTATTTTTGATTCGAATAACGAAAAACAATTCGTACCGGCGACTGGTTTTCTTTTACTTTGCTATCTTGACTACTCGTTAGTAGCTTACTTTAATGTGTTTTCGACATCATTCAGCCAGACCAGCCATTTTCCCGGGTACCGCACCGTTTTTGACTTTACTCATACGTGCCACTTTTTAGATTTGTCGCACTGTCCACTTTTCAAGCGGTTTGACAGGTTACCATCTGAAAACCTTATTTTTGCGAATCTGTACTTTCTGTTGGTACTTGCTGTTGATCCCAATAACACCCCTGGCTATCACCTTGTTTGTTCTGTGCTCACCACACTCGAGTCTATGCGCGTGTGTATACTTTTAAAAAGGGACGTTGTTGTTGCGGGCCAGTCGAAAATCCCCGCAAAGACGCGCCAGAAACCCCGACATAATGGCCGTGGGAAGCGGGCTCCAATTCCTCCGCACAACGCAGCAGAGCTCAGCCACTCCGAGACGCGGCCCAACTGCGCACCTTTTGCAAACTACCACCTCTTCGTGGTGACTGTTTCCCCTAACTTAATAACCCATAACACTGGCTTTGATTGCCCTTTGTTGGTTGTAAAAGAGCCTACAGAGGACCACTTGCCTTTTCTTTCTCTTCGCCTCAGTTGGGAGTCGGTCGGGTCACGTGATTGCGTGTGAGTCGTTAGCTGGCCAGCCTACGCGTCTAAGTCATTAGCCTCCCTCTCGTGTGCGTCCGTTCCGAGGGCTCAGCGTCTATCCGAACACGTGCGGCTAGGATCGTTCACACGCTCGCTCAATTTTCCGTCTCACC